GAGCAAAACCACCCTTTATGTAAATAAATGAAGGAACGATTTTGGTGATCAGATTATATGCTTCTCTCCTTTGCCTTGAAAAATATTACCTTTCTTTAACTTGAGGTGTGGAATGAAGCAATGACAATATCTTCATAAATACTATTATCCCTATAATGAGGTAAGCTAAATGTTAGATGGGATATGGTAGGAATGGTGATTACACTAATGAAGCTCAGATGTTGGAAAGCTGTGGATTAGGGAGAAAATAATACTTTTTAGTCATGAAATCTATGAGTGTTTTAGGTCCACTACACTCTGGGGTAACTTGGCTGTCCCCACCTGAAGCAGAAGCATGCATCATTGCATTTGATGGGATTCAAGGAAATCCTTTCCGAGTAACCTTGCCTAGGAATGGGCTGCAGTGACACATATGAACAGGTCCAGAAAGGCTAGCAATTGTTCTTTGTTCATGTTTACTCTTAAGTAGCTCTCCACTGCTTTCAAAAGGACTTGCACCCAAGTAAATGCAACTAGAATTGCAGCCTAAAAAGTATGAACTGTCACTTGTGGCCAGGGCCAGGCTGACAGAGAGCAGGTAGAGCAGTGCATTGTGGGCCCTGCAGAGCCCCACCAGCCACTCTCCTATATCCATTTGGGGGGATTTGTGGATTTTCAGAAGTGCAAATCTGCACAAGTGAGAACCATTGCAAGCTCAGAAAACAGGGGAATTGATTCTGTCAATAAATGGATGACAGAATGACAATCTGCAAAATATAGATGTAACAAAAGGCTTCCATCCCTGGGCAAGACATCCCACCTCATTGCTTTGAGGAGCATTACGGCTCCAAAAACCATGCTTTCTAGATTTGCTTGCTTGTTTTAAGGACAAATAACTATTTTCTTTAAGCTTTGAACATCACTCAGAAGATATCCCACCAGTGAGTATACAAAATAAACAGGGCTGTGGTCTTTTTGTTTTTAAAATTTCTATATTAGATATAGTTGTATCTGAGTCAAAAGTCAAAAGGAGTCCTTCACTTCTGTTGCAAAAATGCTCTTGGTCTTTTTCCAGGAGGGTCTCAATTATCAGGAAAGAGGGAAGCTTCACCCAGTAGAGACTTAAACCATTAATTTTGCATGCAAGAGGTCAGCAGAGTGGCTCTTGCCCAAAAACAGAGATGACAAAAAGCAAAGTTTTGGGCATGGGCTTTATAGGTTTCAGACTGGCAGGTAGTTTGAACTGCGCATGTCCAGGTTCTCGCCAGTTCCAGATTGGCCAATCCTGGCCTCCCACGCCATGGCACTTTTAGAGAGTCATTAGTGGGGGCTCGTAGTTATGTATTTTGCTGGTATTTTCCAAGAATTCTTTCTTGTGATATTTGGGGTCTTGCTAGATGCCTCCCAGACCTAGTTTGTAGTTAGCGCCAGTGAAGGTTTTCTGATAACTGCGTCTTCTTAACACTTGTGGTTATGCTAGGAGTTACTTTCCAAACTTCAGATATAGGTGTCTTAACTTCACTTCCAACTAACTGATCTGCAGTCTTAGACATGGAAAGCTTTCACTAATTAATTGATCCACAGTTTTAAACACTTGGAGCCTAAATCAGGAGCTGCTGCCAGCAGCCCCAAAGCTATTGCTAAAGCTGCCCAGAGCAGCTGAGACCAGGGTTGCTGGCTGGGTTGGTCTTCTTGCAAGTTCCAGCAAGCAAACATCATTACAGGATGGCTGGCTTTTTCCTAACACCTCCATCCACATGGATGGAGATGGTTTTTAATTAAACGCAGAGAGAGAGAGAGAATCTTACTGTTCCCTTATGGTTAAAGCAGCCCTGCACTGAGTAGGATAAAGCAGTCACTTTGTAACATGTCTGGAGAACCACAGTGTGAGACAAATGATTCATGCACGAGGGCTTCCTTTTGTCCCTTGGCCTGTGTATTTACTACTGTATTAGAAATCATTGTTAGCTGTTGATAACAGACAATTCTGAATCTAGTTCACATCTGGGCATATGACCTGTCATTTTGTGTTGTTCATCCCTTCCTTGTGCTTCAGGGCCACTGTTTCTGGCAGCTATCAAAGCAGCCTTATAACCGTTCATTTTAGACAACTAGGATACAGGAACAGTGATTCAAAGAGTAAAATAAATATCACAAAGTGAGCTAATTTTGTAAAATGCTATCTTTATTATGTCCCTTCATTACATTACAAGATCAAAAGTATAAAACATAAAATCTTACATTTGAACAGAAATAAATACAGAAAATCAAAGGGAAGTTTGTACATGGAAATGTCTAATATGAAATAATTAAAATCCAAGAAGATCAGTACTCCCAATCCCTGACAGATGATGAATATTCCCCATTCCATTATCACTGACAGAGATGGTCAGAGTGCTGAGCTGAAAATGGATGCTGATGTAGATATAGGACCTGCAATAATGCAGAGTTCCCACTAGACATCACAGCCACATTCATTATTGGGCTAGGAATACCAATAAAATGTATAAACCTTTTTCATGAGTGGGATAGACAGACACCAATATACAACTCTTTGCATTTTTCAGAAATATGATAACTACACTTAAAAAGTCACCTTTCTGATGAAAAGGTATAAGTTGTGCTTCTTAATAATAAATCAAAAATTATCAATAACTTTTATCTGTAGGTCTTAGTTGGCCTAAAAATTTTGGTTGTGTTACTGGTGTAAAGTTGTATGAACATTTTAATAATGACACTTGCAGTTTTTGCAGAATAGTATCCTTTTCCATCAAAGGAAGACTTGATTTCTTTTTGCTGGCTTCTTGTTAGTGTGACAGTGGACGACAGAAGAGTTAGAAAACTTTTTCTAAATTAATAACTTTTCAGAAACAAATTTGAGCAACATGGAATCCTCTGCTCCCCGCCACCCCATTTTCTTCATTTATAAAAATGATTATCCAAACCATAAAGCACTTAAACCAGATTCTCATCTACTGTATTGTAGCTCTAAAGGATAAATGTATGCTGGATTTCTTCCAGTGCAATTAAGAATCTGATTATGTGCACAAGGACCTAGTTAATCAGAAAGAAATCCCATACTACTAGCAAATAAAAACTGTATACAGTGCTAAAAAGGTGTATCCTTCTCTGTTATGTATAGAAATGTTCATATTTTGAGTTGCCCTTTAGATACCTTATGCAACAAGCAGAGGCTCATGAAGAAACTTCTTTGACCAGTCTGGTACAAATTAAAAGGCACATGTTAAACACTTCCTCAGCTCTGGCTTTTGGGCATGTTATTTTTTAAATTCAAATTTTTAAAAATAAGTGTACAGGACCATTGCCACGAATCTCATTCATTTATGCTGACAGGACAGTTTCTAAGCAACTAACTGAAATGACTAAGAAAGCCAAGGCTTTTCATATCCTTTTGCATCATTTATGGCTGCATCTGTTGCTTGAAGAATCACAGTTTTCCTGACAAAATAATATTACTCCCAAACACTATAATATACAGAGATATATTCCTTCAATGTTTGAGCAAGTGGTGAGTCCAATGGCCCATTCTCACAATCCTCTCTCGTACCATAGGCAACTGCAATGTTGATTCATTTTGTTTTCACAAGTTTCAGCCGTTTGTCACATGCTAGTTGTCACAGAAAGCTTGACACAGGTTGTTGTTGTTTTCCCAAACTGGCATAAATGCCTAGACAGTAATGTTGGTAGTGATAGCTAGCTTTGTACAGGCTCAAAGTATTATATTAAAACTTAAGGTCTTTCACTAAAGTGCATTTGATAACATTATGTGAAGAAAGAGGAGTCGTTTTTCCAAGTGCGTTACACACCTATATAAGTCTGTATAGTCATGCTTGTTCATTTTTGTTTTGCTAAACATTTATTCCTATTAAATACATAACACTGACTTAGAAGTTGCTTGAATGTCAGCATTAGTGCCAGCTTGCCTCAGACACCTGCTAAATTCCTAAGGGCACAATCCAACGCCTGTTAAGCAGACGGAAGCCCTCCCCCTCCTAGCATGCCCTGGCCGGTCACACTGGCTGAGCAATGCTGGGTGCTTCAAGGGCTTGTTGCTGAGTAGGCATGCATAGGCTCATAGTCCAAACTGCCTGTCAATTTCCCTGACAGATAATCATTTGTTCCTTATGTTTCCCAGTAGTTATACTTGTTTATCTCCTGGACCAAACCTTGCATGCAGTATTTTTGAAATAGGCAGAACATTGTCAAACTGAATCATAGAGAATTTTGTGAAATAAAATATTACTAAGTAACATACTCTAGTCCAGTAAAATATTTGTCTCTCTTAATCTTTGTGCCCGAATTGTATTTTCCAGGCTTCAACCTGTCACTAATGGAACCAAAATTCTGTCCCTGGAGGACTGTGCTCTTCATATGTGTAAAGTCTCACACGCAGAAAGGTTCTTGAAGGTATGTTTCCTACTGCAGGCTTTAGATTAATTTCACCATTGACTTCAATGGTACCGGGTTCAAACTCTCTGAAACCAGCAGAAGACAAAGATTTGATGTCATTGGGTTGCATTGCTACTAAGGAAAGTCAGTCTGTGGGCATTTTTCAGCCTTCCATGACCCTGCCCTCCCATGGCTAACTTGTATTTTTCACCACAACGAACAACATTCAGAGGCAGCCAAGCTGGCACAGGAGTTCTCGAAAACTCCAAAATTCCCTCCTGCTGGTCACCCCCACTAACAGGGATCTTAAAGGGTTCGGCCAGCTAAGCATCTCCTTCTTTACATATATTTTCCTCAAGCAGAAGTGTTGGCAGTTGCCTTTCTCTCTTAGGCAACCTTGGCCTGGTCATAAAACATTAGCAACCATAATTCTTTGATGACACAGAAAAAGCATAAAAGTGCATATATGTCCTCTTTAGGATGATCACCTAAAACAGTGTCCCCTGGACACCTGCCCATTTTATGATCTTGATTTTTTCTTTATATAATATTACATTTATTTAGCTTTTTCTGTTTGTTTTTTAAAAAGCACACTGAAAAAATATGATAGTCTATTCGGCTGCCTCCGCTGCCTCTCCTGCTCCACCCGGATTCTTCCCATCATTCTGGATCATTCGAACAATGTGTGTCAGGTCCAGGCTACGGGTGAGGATGCCAAGTAGAACCTCATCCTTCTGTACTCCATCCATGAATTCTTCCAGAGACAGCTCACCTATAGAAGCACACAAAAGGAGTCCATTCATGTACAACCTGAAATAATGTTGGGCATCTGATTTTATGAGTAATGCAAGGCATGGAACTCCAGCTAGTGATTTCTACATCATGCCTACCATTTCTAATTGCAACCGATCACATTTGTGAAAATTCTGCAAGATTTTGTTTCTCCAAACAACAGAGAATCAGTGGTTGATCTACAGATCTAATTTTAATCTATCTTCTTCTCTCCATTATATTCTGCTTTACATTTCTCTACCCACTTACAGATTTATCTGTCATGTAAAATCTCTTTTTCACTTATTTATAAATCCTGATCAAATTACTGAATAAACTAGACGTCTTAGCATCTAACATCAGTAACCACTCTTTGCTGGTTTTTCCTTGGCACATACTGATGTCAATTGAAATCTTCGTATGAGATTGCTATGATAATTCACCCAGCCTATACCTTGGCTCTACTAATTTAAGGTAACACCTCAGAGAAGACAAAGAAGCTGTTCTTACCATCTCCATTTATGTCGATTTTATCAAACACCATGTTTGTGAATTCCTCAGCTGACATTAATTCTTGACATGGATTAATGGTACGAATTGCCTGCAAAAAATTAAGATGGAGATGACTGAATGAACACAATATTCAGATGTATCTGTCGGTGAACAGTAGAAAGGTCTCCCCTCCACCCTTCAACAAATAATCAGCAAACTACCATGCAACCATTCCCATCAGTAATTACACACTTGTTTCTAATTTTAAGTGTTATAATCACATCAGAATATAATATATACTGGTCATAAAGTACCATCAGAACATCTAATTAGTTTTTTTTTCTAGATTCAGTTTTACTTGGAATTCAGATTGCTGACTTGACCAAATCTTAGATGTTCAGGCTAAGTATATTTGGGAGGAATCAAGAGTAGCTGAGGGGAGCAAATAATTGTTCACATTCTCTAGGGATCCCCTTCCAACAGAAAGACCAGGCAGATTCATGTTTTCCCACTGTGATGGATATTACAGGAGGTTCAGGATGGAAAGATTACTGCACTGGTGTTAATTTCAGTTGCCTGCTCACAGTTATATTGATGGACATCCTATGAACTATTAGTGTATGTGCACAATCTTAAATCAGCACTGACTGTGTTTGAATGCAGCATTATGTTTGTTTATGCCCAAGGAGCTTGTAGCATGGGGTGTTCTCATGATAATTTGCCACTGGAACAGCTACACTGAATTAAAAGGATTCTTGTTTCAAGGGACTTAAAGAGTTGTTCCCTGGCCATCATTAAAATTCCAGTTTAAAGGCATTTTGAGACATTGACCTATTCCTAAAACTGTCAGCAATGTGAATGTAACTTATTCTGCATTGTGTGTACATTCAGTTTCTCTTCATTATATCCTACACAGCGTGACAGGTTCAAACATTTTCCTTTAGCCATGCTTTATATGAAAATAGTTGATGGCAGCTGTCTTATGGGATTTCCTGTTATGTCTGCCAGGTGCTGTTAGGAATTGCCTGAGGATGATACTGAGAAAAATAACTTACCTTAATGATGTTTAGTAACTCATCCCTGTCAATGCAGCCATTTCCATCCACATCATAGAGTTTGAAATACCACCTCAGCTTCTGTTCTACTTTCCCCTTCAGGACCAAGCTTAGAGCTGCCACATACTCCATAAAATCAATGTAGCCATCCTGTTGAAGAAGAAGATGTTGTATGTCAACTGAGTAAGCCACAACCTTGTTCATTGAACACATTTCTTAGAACTTGTAACAGCTACCGCTATGCTTTAAATATACCCTATATCTGAGTAAATATTCTTCCAGAAGAAATTTTCAGAGGGAATCATCAAACACAACTGCACTTGCTAGCATGGATTCTTGACTATTTCATCATCATTTTTCTGTATTGCAATTTCCCACAGCTACAGTTGCCATCATACTAGAGCTTCTCAGCTTTTTCAAAGAAGCACCATCCCAATTATATCTGTAGAGCTCTACAGATATATTAATATACCCAACATTGCATATGCTAGTTACAGGAGAAAAAGAAATTGAGAGCTGATGTTTGAAGCACGTGTGCCCCCATTGTTCAGTAGATTTAGGCAAATAGCCAATATAGTGCATTACAGGCCACTTCCTTCCAGAGTTCCTTTGAAAAGTAAAGAAAGGAAATTGCAGCCTGGGACAGCATACTGTTCTGTAATGTTTTGTATTTGCAACACCAGAAGAGAAGATTGTGAGAGTTCTGCCGGCTTAGCTGTCTATATGAACCCCCTTTCTTTACTGTGTCTTAGTACTTAAGAAGAAGGCCCTCTACAAGGTAAACCCCTTTCACAGGCTCACTATCCACACACCTCTGTGACTCTCAGCCAACTGTCTTGAAGTAATGTAAAGACCAATGGTGGTAAGGTGACCTGTGCAATCGCATGATGTCTACTGAGAAGTAAGCCCCACAGAGTTCAGTAGGGTTTATTCCGAAGTAGGTGGGCATTTGATTGCACCCTGGAAATATGATTGTAATTCTATTTTATATATTTTAATTTTCCTTTAAGACCCCTTCGATCTCTTTTGAGAAAGGCAAATGATGATAATCATTATCTTCAAGCCAGCAGAAAGTGCTGCCAGAAAGACAGAGGGAGAGAGAAATGAAAAACACCTCCGAAAATAACAAATAGATGATATACAGAACTCTTCAAGTACAAAGAAATTTCTCAATGGATTTTTACATCTGTTAGTCTCATGTGATCTCCTGTGTTTTGAGCTTTGTGTGCTTTATGGACCAGTTCACTGTTAAATAGGATCTTTTGATGGAATAAAGTGGCATTTCAGATCACAAAGCAGGTAAACACAGATGAACTCTAATGATACATTTGTGATTACTTTGGCTTCCAATGGAATTGTTGTGCAACTCCTAAGGGAGAAGAGGGACTCTAATTTTATCCAGAGTGAAATGGATATTATTTTGTTAAGCTGCATTCTTTGTCCAGATTTGTCCCCACAGGAGATACTCAGTTTTACTATCAGTCTTGACGATTTGTACTTTTGTCCTTGCACTATAATTTGTTCTGACGCTATACCATCAACATGCGTTGCTATGATACCTAAATAGACTCAGGTCTTGGCCAAGACTTTCAAGGTGCTTTTAAAGAAGTAACACTCAGGATTAAGGCGTATTTGCATGTATTATATGTCTTAAGGTTTCTGTGTACTGATTCAGACTTCCTGGAAAAGTTCATATTATACATTACCGATCTAATAAAAAAGTAAAAATGAAAATATATTTTCATGCTTCCATCTCTGTGTTTCCAATATAAAAGTAGCATAGTCTGAAATTCAGTATATTACAAATTCCCATGCAATGTACTTTTATGCCAACTCAACCTTTTGCCCTCCGGATCACAAAGAGCTAATCTGCTTTATTCTACAGTCTTCCTTCTAAAGCCAAGTTAGCTTTTAACAATGCTGAACTCAGTTACCAGACTGGATTTACTGTATGCTGATTTATTCATCTAGGCTGGGATTCAAATAATAATGTGGCTTGTTCCACGTGCTCAGGTGGACTTTCAATTTGTGCTGCTCAAAAGATAATCTGCCAAGACACATGGGAAAATATTTTGGAACCAGGGCTATTTTTAACAATAATAAAAATTAAAAACCTCATTGGCCAAAAATAGATACTTGTATATACTTAAAGTAGCTCCTTGAATTTCTGTACAACAACATCTCTTTTACTGTTTAGCACAACACTTTAATTCTTGTTTGAGGTAATTCATAGGGCAAAATAACATTTTCTGACGGGAACTTAAATATGTTAAAATCTAAACAATGTACTGTTTATGTTGGGCTATGCATGTTACTTGGTTTTCAAAACCTCTCTTTAATTCTACCTCCATTAATTATTTGATCTTGAGAATTCTTATCCAGACATGGTGTTTTACCTGACATAGGATTTTTACTTGCGCGAGCTCTGAAGATTAAGAGATCTGATAACTATAAATGTGAGTGGCAAAGTTGGTGATTATTCCTATGACATCATGAGTAGGAGGTTAGATTTATTTTCTATGTAAACTCTGGGTGAAACTGCCCCATGCAGTAGAATAATTAAATTACTACATATGGCAAATGTATGCAGAGCACAAATATCTAAATCATTAAGCTCAATAATTGGAAAGTGTCACTGCATGGGGAAACATCCATAATGAGGAACTGGTCCTTTTTTAAATACTAATTTCAACTGACGCAATTCATTCATTAAGTCATAAGCAAGGACAGAAAATAAATGCTCAAGTTGCTTGATTCTCTGTATCAATTCTGTGCACAAAAGGCTTCTCAAAATTCTCCACCTTTGTGGAATTTCTCTTGTGAACAGAGAAATCAAGGGTGGAGGGAAACATTTGAAGTGGGAGGATACATTCAACATTTTTTCATAGGTAGTGTTCGTCATTACCGGGAATTGTAATACAACTTCTTTCTTTTTCCTAAGGTTTGTTTTTGCACCATTTTCCAGCCTCCAAAATACTCACTAACATAATTCAGGGAATTTGGGGGGGATGCAGCCACCCCCCACCAAAAAAAGTGAAATAGTTTTGGAAGAAATTTTGCAAATTCTGGAAATTCTGAGATTATATCATCCTGTGTCCAATTGCACAGTTTTAGGTCCCATTGATTTCAAGGGGCTTTAGGAACATGATAAAGGTTTTTAAGCAACGTAATGATGCAGTGAGGGTTGCAAACTAAGAAATTTGCCCAACATACTTCTTTCCTTATTCCCTCAAAATCTAGGAGTTTGTTAAATAAAGACTGTTTCAGCTAAAGCAAGAATGGCGATGCAGTCCCATGCTTGTTCAAGCCCCAAACATCCCAGTATCTACAGAGACTAAGTCCTGTTGGAATTAGTGTGACTATCTGGGCTGTACATAGATCCCTAGTTTGACTCATTATGCAATGAGATTAAGCAAAAAGTCGTACAGATTTGTGCTCAGTTTCATTTCTGTGTTGGTAACTGTGTGATTGTATCTGAGTGATTGTATCTAATGAACATTTTGGCATATGTTGTTAATCCTAAATACTCAAGTGAAGTGCATAAACAAATATTCATATATACAGAAAAAAAGAGCAGGAGAGGAAGTAATACTGAGCATTTTCAAATTATTTTAAAACATGCCTATTTAAAGTTGTTTAAAAACATGACCCTTCTCTACATGCTTTTGTTAATAAGAAACAATCACTAGAATAAGCCAGATATACTTGGATCAACAACCAATTGTTGCATAATAAAATTTAATGTTTATCACTGATGTCTGCAAATTAACTGTTGCTGCTGTAACTGTGAGCTCAGAAAAAGAGCAATATGCCTGTACTTTAATAAAGTTATTATGGCTCAACAAGCATTTCTGGACTGATCATAAACAGTCAAAGAGTGAAAAAACTGCTTTCAAATGCTATTAAAACATTATACTAATAGGATTTCTATAGTTGTCTTTGATGGAAACAACAGTGTGAATCCACTGAATGTCATTTTAAAAAGGAAGATTGCTTTTCACTGAAGATATAAGCAGCCAAGATTCACCTGTATTTGCACTCAATGGCTGTGCACTGTACAGAAGGAAATGCATAAATCAAATGTTCCAATTTGAAATATACGTATTTACAAGTGTTGCTTGAAAACTTCTTGTGGTTATAAAATGGAGAAATATCTCTTTCAATCATCCTGTCTGCAGAAATTTTCTGATTTGGAACTAAAACTCAAATAGTAATGCAAAGAGAAAATCTGGAATAATTTGAATTTTGGAGAACTGGCTTTTTAATGGAAGGCAGATGGAACACAATATTGCCTTCCTGGGTTATTCCCGCAGAATATAAAAATTCTGAACAAAGTTCTTGTTGGAGAATATAGGGGCTCACAGGCAGCTCTTGCTAATCATAAATCAACTTTGTCCTATAGACTTAAGTAAAAATAAGACTCAGATCCCACTACTTTTGCTGTAATTGACCGTGTCCACCAAAAATTCAAGATCTGTAAGATAACTGTTACTTCTCACTTATATCAAAGTGCAAGTGTACCTCAATATATGGAAACCCTCAAAGTGAAGGTATCTGAAATTCCTATGCTATCCCAGGCTCAAGTTGGCTAGGTAAGAGGAGGGCTCCCCAGCTCAATCCTCAATTTTTTGCTGGATGGGTCTTCCCAGATGGCTCCCCTTCCTAGTGAAGGTTTTTTTGAGTGGAAGGGAAGCAGTCTGGAGCAAGCTTCTCTAGCCTGCTCCGATCCTCACCCATCAGAATGAGCCCTTCACCCCCTCCCAGGGGATGATTTTTTGACCTCAGAGAGATGGCCAATGTTATTTTATCTGTACTGGTGGAACAGAGGCAGGAAAGGGGATCTGTTCTCTGACTCCACTTTCCAAGGGCAGAGCTCCAAGCTTGGAGTAGGGAACATGGGCTCTTTTTGTGGACCCCTTCCATGTCTATTGTATTTGCTTCTAATTCAGCTATGAAGAGCTTATAGGCGCCATTCATTCCATGAGAAGAAAACCTAGATTATGTTAGTGGATTACATAAACCCCATGCAAACTTATTTCAAGGACTTAAGGAAACAGGGAAGAAGAAATCTTCGAAAAACATGGAGGTAGAATATTGACATTGACACTGTAAGTTCATCTAAAACACTGTGGGGGGGGGGGGTGATTAACCCTGGATATGGCTCCATTTTTTCTTACTGTATGTATATATACACTGCATAGGTAAGTAGAGAATCCTTTGTATTAACCCACTTTGAGAAGAATCTGTCCCTGCCAAGAGAGGAGGAGAGTGAGATCTAAACCATTTGGACTTCTTTAAGGACTTGACTAGAACAGCCTTCAGTGATGTTCTGAACTGTATTTGTAACTCTTCTGAATTTCATTGTTATTGTTATTTTATTTTGGCCATGCGGGATTGGGATGAATGCTTTCAACAAATACAAGTTCCAAGCATTCAGTTGCACAACTTGAGCAGACTGAATGCTGTCCAGAGTCCTGTTAGATTAGGTAAATTCCTCCACTGTCTCCAATAGTAGCTTTCAGGCAACAGTGTGTCTCAGTCTGTATTATCACCCAAAGATACAACATCCTCAAATTATGACATACTCTTTAATAGTTTTGTGACCTTTTGGAAGAATTTTAATTTAATTCACATTTATTTAAACTATTGGCAATTTTGTCTGACCTCTCACTGTGAAACCCATGGACGCCTTTCAGTTTCTAAACTAACTACTGGGAGAAGTATAGGAAATGCTCAGTTGACTCAGTTGAGTTCTATACAATACCTGTTGTATAGAATTTATTGTATCATTAACAAGCAGGCCTTATGAATACCACCCATAAGTTTCATCTTTGTAATTAGCCTTTACTTCTCTGTCTCAGTGTTTGGCTACTTTGTCGACATTTTGCCTCTGACAACTGAAAAAGCCTCCTTAGAGACGATGCATTAAGTCCAGCAGCCCCCTTGAAAGGATTTTGCAGCAGCTCAGTTTAGCACAGGTGCAGAGGTACGTGAGAGGAAATGGCTCTAGCGCAAGGCTGATGCAAAGATAAAGCCAGCCCTACTGCTTTGACGTCAACAGACCAATTCTATATTTATATCCTTGTTATTTGACAGGAGGATTTGACCCTAGAATCTTAGGCCTACAAAATAATCCTTGCAGGCCCCTTGTCCTGAAAGCTCCTTATGGAGAGCTCTAAATCTGGTTCACCACACATGCAGTGACACTAAATAAGTTATCCTATGGTGGGAGGCACAGTATTGTAAGAGTGATCAGAATTGTATGTTTAAATGTATATGTTTTTATTTTAGTTGTAAGTGTTGTTTGGTTGCATTATAGATTGAAAAAAAAATAAGAGGTAAATTTACAGTTGTCTCAAGAAGAGTTAAATGACCAGAATGTTTTCTGATGGAGCTTCAGCAATGATATTGCATTGCAACTATATTCAGTGGATACTTTGCTACAATTTTTTTAAAAAAAACTTCATGTGAGATACTTTTATTATGTGAGAATGTTTATTTTATTTACTATTGTTATTTTGTAAAATGAAGGTATGCTTTTGTAATAAGAAAAGAGAGCCAGTGTGGTGTAGTGGTTAAGAGTATGGGACTGGGACTCAGACGATCTGGGTTCTAGTCCCCGCTCAGCCATGGAGCCAACTGGGTGCCTTTGGATCAGTCACAGACTCTCAGCCCAACCTACCTCACAGGGTTGTTGTTGTGGGGATAAGAAGGAGGAGGAGAATGATGTAAGCTGCCTTGAGCCCTTTGTAGGAAAAAGGCAGGATATGAATAAAAAAATAAATAATAATAATAAATACAAGAAAACTGGGTTAAAAAGCTGGGTTGAAAGTGATCTGTGATTGTATGAAAAACAAGTTTTTAGTAGTCCATGTTATTAGAAATTATTCAGGAAAAATTTTTTAAAATTAGTAAAAGAAGCAATAACTTGCAGTGTATATCAAGCACTCCATACCTCCTGATTTGTCATTTAGTTGAGCAGACCTAGACAAAGAACAGTAGGTATAACCTTTCACATATTCATCTAACTTTTCATCCAGCTTTTCCCAAACCAGTGCAACCCAAATAAGTGGAACTATGACCCCCATCATCCACAGCCAGCATGGCCAGTGGAGATGATGGAAGTTGTAGTATTATACATCTGGAAGGTACCAGATGGAGGAATGCTGATCTAAGTCAACACTTAAATGGTTGAACTAACCACTGTAACCACAGTATTTCTGAAAAGATTCATAAAATACATGTGTAATAGTAGAAAAGTGCAAAATACTGGATATGTTTTGCAAATCACAATGCTAGCAAAATGTTAGCATAGTTTGAGTGGAAGCACCTGTTATAGTTCATTTTCCCAGACACAAATTGAAGTTCTATACATCAAAGTAAACAATGCAAACAGCACGTGCAGATCATTCATTTAGCTATTTGTACTATATATATTTGTATAATGGCCACATAGGTAATATGTATTTGTATTAGTTATATACAAACAGAACTCACCTTATTAAAGTCAAAGGTCTCAAACATTTGCTCAATGTATTCGTTTGATGATGGACTCAGGTTTTTCAAGCCAAAAAACTGTTTGAACTCATGCAGGGTAAGTTGCCCTGAGGGACACTCTGTCATAAACTTCTTGTACCATTGATGGCACTCAGTTGCACTCAGCTCCTCAACAGCTTTTCCATCCATGTTCCCCATTTTCAAACAAAGGAAGTGAGCACAAACCTCAAAAACAGCAGAGTTCTTATAAAGGGTTTTCCTTCTAAAGCACACAAGTAGGCAGTTTGAAATGTTCAGCACCAAGGGATGGAGCAAGCTTCCTAAGGTCTGCTAAATACCATGGATGATGGGTAACTGCAAAAAAGTTTGCTCCGGAGACTATTTCATTCTTCCAGGCAAATGTTAAAATGGCAAATGTCTCTTCAGAGAAGCACCTGATATTTAAGTATCCATTAAATCCTCCCCCAGCCAATGAGGGACGAGTTCCATGATGGGATCTTAAAAAGGGCAAGGGAAGTTCAAGGCAAAAATAGAAAAATGGTAAAATGGGAAAGCGTCATGCAGATTATGTGCCCCAGGAGATTGAAAGGGTAAGATTTACCTGAAGATAGAATAAGCTTCTAATCCACTTCACTTTTGATTCTATCAGCCTTATGAATGGTTATGGCAACCAGGGTAGAGGGCGGGAAACACGTCTATTGTCTTTTCACTGTTGCCTGTCATTCCCTTGTATAATCATAGAGTAGGAAGGGATCCAAGACTGTTTACTCAAATCATCAGCTTTGAAGCAGGACCCTTCTCCTCATCCCATTTCCCAATCTGGTTTGCAGAAACCAGAACTGAATATTGTAATTTTGGCAGAGATCTGATGCATGGCAGAAACATCTTAGAAGAGCAATAGTTATAAAGATGTTTCCATCAAAAACAGTAACAAATCACACATTTAGGTCAAGAGCAAAAGCAAAGCAAACCCATAGCCAAAGGATTTTCAATAACTATCGGGAACTTGGGCTTGAAAAGTCAATGGAAGGCATTTGTGAATTTTGTTAAAGGCAGGCAATACAGACGAGTCAAGTCATGGAGGGAAGGTGGAATAAATAGTGTAATCCAAATATTGCATATTCTTATGATAAATGTTTCTTAAATTAGCAGAAAGTATATCATATCATTATAGTGGTGATGGAACTAAGGAAATCATTAGCATCTCCCTTTCTGCCTCTTCATTAGTCCCATATGTGTGCAAGCTATTATTTATTTCATTTATCTACCACCCCTTAGCCATAAAGGTTCTATGGGTGACTTACAAAGTTAAAACATATAAGCAAAGATAAAAAAATAAATGTATCACAATAACAGCAGTATAACAACCAATAAGAGCAACAATAACAACAATCCCAAAACAACTAGTCAAATTGGTATACTAGTACAGCAGCAGCATCTAATAAAACCCTATTAAAATGCCTGGAATTTTTTAAAAAAGTTTTCAGTTCATGCTAAACGGAAAAAGAGAGGATGCCAGGCAAACCTCTCTGGGAAGCTTATTCCAAAGATGGGGCTCCACCAACTGAGCAGGACTTTCCCCTAGTCATCCCTTTCTCCCTGGAGGAGGGGAGTGCTCCTTCAGAAGGATGATCTTAAGGCCCAAGGTAGGTACATATGGGAAAAGGCATTCCTTCAGATAACCTGGCCCCAAGCCATGTAGGGCTTTCAATATTAGTGCAAGCACTTTGAACTGGGCCTGGACTTCAGCTGGCAGCCAGTGCAGCTGAAAGAGGACTGGCATGATATGATCTCATGGACCATTCCCCAACAACAGTCACATTGCCCTATTTTGAATTGGTTGAAGTTTCTAGACCACAGCCTCAGCTAATTTTGATGAAAAAGTGAGACAGAGCTAAGAGTCATCTGCATATTGATGGCATCTCAGCCCAAGCGCCCAGATTATCTCCCCAGCAGTGACATGTAGAACTTAAATAGAGAGGGGATTAAATGGGGAATAAAACAGAACCCTGTGGTTCTCCATGGCATAACTGTCATGGCCAGAGCAATAATCCCCCAGCACCACCTTCTGGAATCAGTCAGCCAGGTGAGAATGGAACCACCACAAAGCAGTGACACCTACTCCTAACCCAGCCAGCCTATCCAGAAGGATACCCATGGCTGATGGTATAGAAAGCTGCTGAGAAGTCCAAGCGAATCAGCAGGGCTGCACTCCCTGTGTCTTTCTCCCAGCAAAGGTCATCCCACAGGGCAACCAAGGCAGTTTTCTAATCTAATGGAAATAAATAATGTACCACAGGATGTCAGAGTGCAAATACAGGTGCTGTACAACTACCGAGAGCAGAGAAATTAAACTGTTATTGTTCTTCCCAATTTTGCTGTGCTGGTTTTTCCAGATTGCTTTTATTCTTCAACTGATTCGAAGGAAGTCACTGGGCGCTAGACAATACTGCTGTAGATCTTGTACCACACTTTGTAATATATGCTACTGTGCAGTATTTAGAGATTTTTCAAATATGAAAAGTGGTATATAAAGCTATATGCTGAATCTATAACTGCTGCTGCTATTATTAATATGCTGGCATGCTGGGTTCCCCTGGAAAACCAGCATATGCTGTTGGCATTGTTGCTTCCATGGGGTAGAGGGGCAGCATTAGATGCTGCCCTTTGTATCCCTGTTAGATCAGCAACTGTGAATAATATTCATTCCTCAGCGCAGTTTGGATCCTTCCTGACTCATCCAAGATGAACACTCAACGGCACAGGGCCATCTTAGAAGAGCCGTCTGCTTTCCTCCACCTAGTATGAGAGGCAGATGTCTCTCCTTGTGCTATTCCTCCCCTTTGGCTGCCTGTCCGCCGCAGACGAAACCTGCTCAGCTTTTCTCACCATTTCTGTATTTTCCTTTCTTCCCACAATCTTCATTATCACCATTGAATTTTTCAGAAACTTTCTCAATGTGACCACATGTTATGAAGATTTAGTAAAACACCAAAATATTAACTTGAAGAGGAAATTGCATAGCGTCAAACTGTTCCTTTCCAGAGCCTGGTCACAGGAGCTTTCTCAAAACCGTTCACTAGGGAATGGCTCCAGTATATGACGGAGAAGGAAATCTTATATGAATATTTTTCTGCTTTTGCACATCACTGTTCATTGGAACTTATCTACATGAAGCATCTTATTCATGGTTTTTGTAGTTGCATTTGAGAATGTTGTAATCCTCCAAGTTTACTCCTGTTTTATTAGAAGCTCTTTCCTACATTTAAAAAAACCCACACACACACAAGGAAAATGGGGTATTATTTTTGAAAATGAAGGAAAATAATTTTTCCTACTTGGGTAACTGCAAGTATTCCACTGTAAGTGAGCTGATGTGCAAAGGGAAAGCAGGAAAAATAAAGGTAAAATCTCAATTCTGCAACCAAACTGAAAATGGATACAGTAATGTGTAGAAAAGCTCTCATTCTCTTATACTTTCTAGTAATCACAGCACTTCATTTGTCATCACACATGCCCACTTATTTTTTCACTTAGTGGGATGCTTTCCTAGCAAAATTCCACAGTATTGCAGTATCCTTCCAGGCACATTAACCCTTCTCTGCTCCACATTAATTTTGAAGATAATAGCAGATCCTGCAAGAATTCATGTGGTCTGGCAGACAGAGAAATGGATCCTACTCACCAAGAAGTTGCCATGTGGCCTGAGCTAAACTCTATATGATGCTAGGTTGTGCCCACACCCCTCCCAACCTGGATCTGGGGTTTGTTCAGCAAGTATGTCCCCTGTGCTGTTACCTTTGGAGGGAAATGTCAGATGCAATAAAGTGCAGGATAGTTCATGGCACACTTCTGTAGGTTGTGTTATAAGCAGATTAAGCACAAGGAGGAAATACCTGTTTATAGCAGAGGACTTACCATGTCCACTAGAAACTAGGCCAGCCCTTACGCCATTGGAGGATTTCAGGAGATTCCCTCGTATCTGCCAAAGACCTGCTGAGTCAAAATTCAGCCCTTGGTTATCCCGCACTGAACCTGGCTTTTGCTAGAAGTTACTGTGCATCCAAGGATTTACCCCTTCAATTCTTGCTATCCCCTTCACTCCACCAAGGGCTGCCTCTATCCCTCTGAGATCCTCTTCGCATTTAGTCTGTTTCTTGCAGATGGGGATAATTTAAATTTTGCTTAGTCTAATTGGGGCCAGATTGTATTTTTATATTTTTCTGTGATGATTTCCGTTCAAGAGCTGTATCTTAGCTTGAATGGTTATTTTTGCATTTTATGTTACTGTAACAGGGACAAGCCTGGCAAATGTTTAATAAAATGTCTAAGCTTATGCAAGATCCTTTTCAATGTATGAATGACCTCACAAAATTTACCTTGCCTCTGTTCATGAGAGTGGGATGTCAAGTGAACTGAAATACACACTGTACAGGCAGTGAGGCAGTTACAGCAGCTTTGTGGAACTGCTTAATGTACTTGCTACTGCAGCAAATGCATGTAAGCAATTTTGGGTGCCGTTCTGATGCACACACCATGTCCTCCTTGTGGCGATAGATTTGTTTATTTAAAATATTTCTGGGCCACCTTTCAGGAAGCAGCCCTCCCAAAGGCATACAACATTAAAATACATATGAAAAACCCATGTGGCATTCAAAATGGTAAAAACACACACACACACACACAAACCACAGTAGTAAATATCCCATAAAATAAATACAATGGAATAAAATATTCCATAAAAACAGCAAATGCCAGCATAAAACTTACAACAGACAACTACAGCCACAATGTGGTCCGATGAAGCATAACCAGAAGACGACGAGGGGGGATTAGTATGTCTTTTAAGAGCTTTCTTAAAAGCCTGCATTGATGGAGCTTGGCAGACCCCTGGTACCAACTTATTCCAGAGGTGCGGGGCCATGGCAGAAAAAAGCCCTCTGTTATTTGGTTGCCAGTGGAGCTGGAACATTGCAGCAGTCATGATCGCTCATCGCCACCAGCTCTTGGGCAGCCACCTTTTGCACCAGCTGGAATTTCTGGACCATCTTCAGAGGCAGACCCACATACAGCAAATCATAGTCGTCCAGCCTGAATGTCACTAGTGCATGGATGACCAAGGTAAGGTCTATCTTCTCCAGACTGGGTTGCAGCTAGAATACCAGGCTAAGCTTGTAAAACGCACTCCTTGATATTTCACCTACCTGGGCTTCCTCAGTTAGGGCAGAGTCCAGAAGAACTCCCAGAGTGCACACTTAGGGCAGAATCCATCCACTTAGGGCAGAATCCATGCGTGCTTGGATCCATCTTTTTTTGCCCCACTGATTCCCTCTTGCAAGCAATGGATCTTGTCATTCAATTGGGAAGGAACCCACCACTTATGCAAGAGATAATTAGTGCTTTTTACTGGAAGTGCCAAAACAAGTAGAAATGGTCATTTCTGGAAGGAAGCAGGTTGGCAGATCTCCACCAACCTGCCTCCTTCCAGAAACAAGCATTTCCAATTGTTCCAGGTTTATCCCAGAAACACTAAATTGCTGTTGTGTAAGTTGAGGGGGTGGCACTTGTGCAATGAAATTGGCCAGGCAGAAGAGAATAGGTGGGGGTGGAAGCACCCCATTGGATTTTGCCTCTTGTCTTTCAAGGGATCACAACCTCATTTAATATCAGTTTTAAGCTTCCATTCAGAGTAATTGGTGTCCCACCCTGAGTGCCTCCCTCTTGTCTAGATTCAATTTCAGCTTGCTGGGCACTTGTAAACCTAAAATATGTGGGAAATTCTATTAAAAGAGATGCAAAAAGAAATGTTGGAACAAACTGAAGCTCATGGCACTCCTGATAATAAGATGAAACTGGCGTAAGCAACAACTCTTCTTATCATTTCCCCAGCAGGACATACCTCCATCTCACTCCAGTCCCACCCTTACAAAGTGAACTGGTACTAGCAGTATTAGGCAATCAGCCTGTCCTCCACCTCTCAGCAATTAAATAACCTACTGCTGAAGTCTTCCTTCTGGGCCTTCAAAGATCCTGTAGCAGATCCTGCCACTTCAGTATCTGTATTAATGGTCCCTACAATATAGATGCTTCAGATGCCGAAACAGCTGTTGTGATATCCAATGCTATCAGCATGTCAATAGCTGCTTGAAGGCACAGTTCACAGTTTTTTAGACAGAAAAACATCCTACCTCTTCTAGTAACAGTGTTTTCCTGCCTTCTTGCACTATGCTGGGTGGAAATGATGGGGGCTTAAATGACTGTCATCTTTAACATACTTGTCCTACACTAAACTCCCAGCAATGCTACTCCTCCAGTGTCTTCAGCAACAAACTGTCTTTTACTGATTGATTGTAAGCTGCTCCAGAAGTCTTCTTTAGGCCTGAGAAACAATGTAAAGTAAAAATGTGTATCTGATTCACTATTCACTTGCCCTGTCATAAATTGCCATACCTTCAATTTTCAAATATAAAAGCCCACTCATGTGTCATACAAAAGTGGGGATAACACTACGGTGTTCTTCTGCCTTCCCTGCAGTAGCTACAATATCTGGAAGTCCAGGCATTGCATGATCTTAAGACCCTTGCTGGATCAGATGAAGGATTCATCTCATCCAGCATCCTATTCACAAAGTGGCCAACGTGCTGCCCATGAGAAACCCGCAAGAAGGACATGCATGCAATAGCAGCATCCCAGTCATGCTCCTCAGCAACTGGCTGACATCAGTGCACTGACTCTGGTACTGGAGGTAAAATACAGACATCAGGACAGCATTATCCATCATGAATTTGTCAAAGCCTCTTTAAAGCCACTCAGACTAGTGGCCATCACTACCTCTTGCACCAAGTCATCTATGGCTTATAGACAGAACTTACCATCAGAACCACAAGCCCGTCTGACTTCAGAAACTGGGAAAGCAACGCATAAACAGCTGCTGCTTTTATTCTGCCCATTTCATTTTCATTGGAAAAGGAAGTAATGCAGACAAAAGGCATCACCATGTTCGTTTTGCATTTTGGTGCTTTCATCACTATTTTGAGCACATACCTCTCTTCCTCAACCCCCCCAGTTTTTGCATTCTGCTGACTCATGTAAAGAGATGAAAAGCCAGTCCTTTTAATGGTTTTCCTTCAGCATGATTTAACATCCCAGCCAAAGCCTGGCTATTGTACCCTGAGCTGTTGCACTTGAATTGTTCTGTTGCAATTCAATCCGGAAGCTCTTGCTGAGAGGAAGATCTGCTCCTTCTAATATGTCTGCAACACATCCTTCTCGATAGTCTTGAAGAACTCCACTTTGGGATGCACTTATAGATGAGAGTTTTAGGCTAGCTGCGTGGCAGATTCAATGTTTTGAGCCTTCTGCAGACAAACCTGGCTTTTTCCCTACAATGTTCCTCCACTTTGGAATATTCACTCTCTCAACATCCATCACCTTCCTTTTGTGATCTGTGTCTCGGCAATAAAGATAACCACAGGTGGGCTTTTGTAACGTGTAAAATGGAGTGTACGAATTAGAGTAGTTAGGGTTGTAGAAAGCATAGCTGAGAGACTCAGGCTTATGGCCCCCTGGATGTATGACCACAGGAGCATATTCAGAAACTAACGCCTGCTCCATCTTGTAGCCCAGAGCTACTGGGAACTGCTTCTTAGGTTTGTCTGCAGCGGCTGCTTTGGCCGCTTTCTCCTTCTGCGACATCTTGCAGCCATTGATGCGCTTTTTGGCTTTCAGAGATGGTTTGGTCTGTAAAGACAAAAGCCAGTTGGAGAGGAAGACTGAATCTTTCTTTTCTATAGCAAGCTATGTAAGTGGCATCTGGAACTCTGGGCTGAATTAGTGTGATGGCAGAGCACGTGAATGCTGGCTCCTGAATTCTTAAAAAGCAGCAGGTGCGGGAATTTCAGGTGCATCACTAGTGAATGGGGAAAGATGCTGAGCTCACACCTTCCAGAGCTTTAAATGCCACTTCTTTCCCACTGGGACTCTATGATAGAAAATAGCCCCTGAAGTAAAAAATCAGGGTGGGAAACATTTTGGCTTCCCCTCCTACAGTATCTACCTATGTTCTATTATAAATCACCCACCTGGACTTCCCAGGGAATAGGCAGGCCTCAGTTGGGTGTAGTTACATCTACTTACACCCAGAGATGTACCGCTGAAGCCATGAAAAGGACAGAGGAGTGATGTTTTCCTAGGAATAATAGAAGTTTGGGGGAAAATTAATAAATGTGTAATATTTTTTAGTGCTCTTTACCATCTAAGGTCACTTTGTGACTTTAGAAACCTAACATGTATTATGTATAGATTTGTTCATACATTTTTCATTAAAATTTAAAAAAATTAAAAAATCTGCATAAATTTATAATTATTGTTTGAATACATTTTAAATGTGATATACCAAGTATAACTAATTTATCTACAGTACATCTTAAGGGCCTATTTTATGTCTAATCAACTTCAAATTTCAATATTTGAGTCATTTTAGAAGGCAGAAGAGGCAGAAGAGCTGAAGGCAAATGAAGGCTGCTCTACAGAATGTCATTTTGTTTGTGAGGTTGTTTAGAGACAATAATACAATGTGATCTGCTCTGTTAGTCTGTGACCAGGTCTGCATGACTTCTCGTGGCTTGTTTTAGCCATGAAAAACTGTGGCACCTTCCTGGATATTCAGACTGCAGCTTTTCATGTCATATGAATCCAGGCACTTTGCTTAAACAGCCTTCACAGAGCACATGGTCTGTTGTTTAATCATCGCAAAACCCATGATCCTCTAGTATGGACGACATGTCAAGCTGTGGCTTGAATATTCATAATGGGCATCCACATGTACCAAACCCACTGTGGCTTAAATAAGCCAAGATGGTGTGTTTGATCATGTGAAATGGCCCAATGAGTTTATTGGGGTTCCTTTGCTGCGGCACTTTCCTTTTACTTCTCTTTATTACCCCATTTCCCTTGTTCTTCTATTTCTTCTTTGCTCAGTCTTTTGACTTTCTTGTCTTTTACTCTGATTGTTCTAGCATCTTTTAAAAGCAAAGCAAAAAGCCAAAACATTTCTCCTCTTCTTTGGGTAGGATAGAGTGGGAAAGAATGGGTAAGTTGTTATTGGGCTATCGCTCTTATTTGTTTGCTTATCTTTCAATACAACCAATACAAATCTTAGGAAGAGTAAGCCAAGCCATGTGACAAAATTTGCTGTTCAGACACTTGAGCGTGGATTAGAGGAAGGGGATTTGCACTGATAGTGATAGCCATTGATGGAGGTGGAAGGATGAAAATTAGAATGCCAAACATCAAATTTTATTTTGAAGGATATTTAAAACAAACAAACAAACAAACAAGTAATCTCAAACTAAAAGATCTTGAGTGAGTGGTGGTTGACCAGCTCCAGGCCCTCTAGAAGAGACAAATTATTTGGATCATTTCAGTCAGGAACAGTTTTAGTTACTCTGTATGTGCTGGGAGAGAGACAGGCAGATATTTTTGGATCACTCAGTGGTTTTCATTACCATGAACCATGGTATTCTAGGGCAACTGATTAAGTTGGGGACAGTACTGTGTTGAAGTGGCTCCACTCTTATTAGCAGGGCCAGCTCCAGAAGGTGGTGCTTGGAGAATATTATTTAACCCCATGGATGTTCCAGTGTGGAATTCACCGGGGTGAACCCCCATGGATTTGACATTGAAATGAAACTAGTGAGTGGAGTCATCCAGAGTTTTGGAATGTGCTGCCATCAGTACGTAGACAACACACAGCTGTACTTCTCTGAAAATGTGTTCTCATTTTCATCTCCCTCAGGTGAGGCTGCAGACGTGCTAAGCTGGGGCCTGCCTGCAATAATGGACTGAATGAGGGCTAGCAAACTGAAACTCAGTCCAGACAAGACAGCAATTCTCTTTGTGTGTGGTTCCTCAGATAGGATGATATGGATGAGGGTCCCCAACCTGTTCTTGTTGGGGCTGTACTCCTCTTGAAGGAACCGATTCATAGCATGGAGACCCTCTTTGAACCATATTTGTCACTACCTGCTCTGCCTGACAATCCAGCTATTCCCCTATCTAGACAGAAATGATCCGATTTCAATCATCTCCCCCATGGTAAGCTCTAAATTAGATTACTGCAATTCACTTTATACAGGAATGCCCTTGAAGACTGTTCAGAAGCTGCAGCTTGTGCAAAATATGTTAGCCAGAGTAATAACCAGGGCAGGTACATCTGAACATATGACCAGTTCTGGTTCACTTGCATTAGCTGTCTATATGCTCCCAAATCCAATTCAAGGTACTGGCTTTAACCTATAAAAGTTTATACATCTTGGGACCTCAATACTTCCTGAAGTGCCTCTCCTGGCTGCAATCTACCTATATGGTATGGTCAACAGCATCCAAGACCTTCCTTTGAGTGTCAACTCTGATAGAGGCTTGGAGGTGGCAAAGAAGTGGATGGTCTTCTCAGTCGCAGCTCCCCAAATATAGCATGCTTTCCCCATTAGTGCCTGACACTAATTTTGTCATCCTTTCAACATTAGGCTTTATACCAAGACATTTAAAGCTACATGAAGATATTCAAGAGCTTGAGCTGACTTTCCAGTCTAGATGTTTTTAAGATCTACCCTTTATCATACACTGTTTTATCTGTTTTTGTTTTAAAATTTTTGCATTTGGAAAATTAGATGTTGATTTATTGTACTTTCTATTTTATGAACTGCAGTAAACTGCCCAGAAAGTTTTGGCTCTTGGGCAGTATAGAAATGAATGTCATGATACATGACAACGGCTATGCTTATATTTTGAGGCACTAATTCCAAGGATTATTATCTAACTCAACTTTCTAGCTTTTTTGCCTAAAACCCTAGCTGCCAAAAGATTCATAACTGGATGAAGTTTATAAAACATTCTGAACATTTGTTTAAAAACAATACTAGTGAGCATGGAAATAATTTATTACACTAAAGCCAACAAAAATACCCAGAGATTCTATGATGCAGTCATTGCTTTCTTCAATCTAGGGGCCAGCTTTATTAATTTTGCATTTGTTAATGCCAATGATTAGAAAACTTTGTCCAAGAACTATTTTTCCTAGTTATTTAACAGGCTAATACTGAATCAGACATTTCATCCACCTGCCGCCCCACACCCCAAAGATGCCTACACTCCATGCAATTGTCAAATGGAAAAGTTTCTTGCTACTGTTGATTATCTAATGTATTTCTGCATCTTAAACTCTGACAGCACCCGACATTATTTTAAAACCTTGTTAACGGGTTTTCTACTTTCCATGACGTGCTGAGCTTATTAGGCTACATTATTTTAGGCCTCTAGATCTGGCTCTACTTGCTGACTTGTAAAGCTACTAATCCTGTAACAAGGGAACTCGGGGAGTGTTTATGTAAAGTAGTGAATGCCCATGAAGGAAAGAGGGTTGGTGGAATAGCCTTTTCTTCAAAGTGAGAGACAGAAACTTAGACCTGTTTTTCCAAGTGACAGAAACATGGGATCCCAATCCTAACCCTGCCTCTCACTTGTTCCTGAAAGTGCACACAAGAGAAAACAACATAATTAGCATCACTTTTAGTTTGGCCCTGTCTGGTCATACAGATTGGCTCCACACTTGAGTGGACCTTTAGCACTTCCCTGGCATTGCTTTCTGTAACTACCTGGGACTGGAATTAAAATGGTTAGCTACCATTCAGCAAAGCTCCTATTTTCCCTGCCACTTGATTAGTAGCTGCTTCTTTCCCTTTCTCTTTCTTTTAAACAGACTAATTAGCTTCTTTCATTCTTTGATCATGGCTGTCCTTTTCCTGAATGGCTCTGAATTAATCACTTCCTGTGACTTGGGGGAAGCTTATTGGTGACTCTGCAACAAGAATAATTGCTTTATTTTATGAGTGAAATTTAGGAAATTGGTAATTAAAGTCCCTTACACAAGCCCCCTACACACACACGCGCGCGCGCGCGCGAACAAGAACTGATTAAATACAAATGAGGAGCACTAGATCCACAACATGCTACCAAGAAGCAACTAGTTTGCTGTTGTGGTGGAAGGACAGTGGAAAGAAAGATTTTAGTTATGAGCTCAGAATCCCTGAAAGTTCTAGTTGCACTGTGACAGGTTGATACTATGCTCTCCTTCCTTCTTTCTCTCCCAGACCACATCTGGTTCTAGATCAGGCCTTTATCATTCAGTTCTGGACTGTGTGTTGTCCTGCCTCAATCAGAAAATGTCTGTAAGGGAGGGTTGAGTGGGGCAAAGAGGAAAAAATAGAAATACTTTCACATTGTCTTTCAGCTAGTAAAAACAGGCCTGAAGCATCAGGAGAGCGTAGGAAAAATGGAATGCAAAGATTTGCCAATGGAATCAGCTGCTTCCAGACATAACTCTCCCAGTCCTATTAACAAGAAAACGAGTAGATATTTTGTCTTTCCACCTTAAGGTTTGTTTTGTTTTGTTTTGTTTTGTTTTGTTTTGTTTGTGGAAAGAGAAAAATCAGAAGAAGCAGTGGGACAATACAGGAGAGTTCTGAATGGAAGACAGAAATTTCCAAAACCATGATAAAGTTCCTTGAACTAGTAGAACCATGGCATGCCAAAAGGCTGATCTAGGAGTACCCATCCTTTCGATTCTCCATAAAACTGAGTGAACAAAGGATATACATTCCAGAATAAATAGCCAGTGTGGAAATATCCAAATTACTAACAGAAAAAAATCTGCCTTTCTATTCCCTTGAATCACTTTGATTCTCTCATGGAAAGCTTCCATTCCTACAGATTAGCATTCCACAGTGTTTTATTAACTGCAGGTGTTGATATTAATGTCCACAAGTTGAGTGGTATGCAATATGCCTCCTTCACATGCACCCAGCTGGAAACATGCTTAAATACCAAAGACAAACCTGACCAAAGCCACAGTCTTATAAGTAGTGGCATGCCATCAGTTAAGAAAGGAGATGAAAACAGCAACAGCAGACATTCTAAAAAATAAAATCCAAATATATCAACTTGTGTGCTGAAATATATTTATCCCTTCCATCTATGTTCAAAGCACTCCATAGAATGTTCTCAGCATTTCCATAGCCATTAGAGCAGCTTACAGAGCAGCAAAATATTGGGTGTTCCCTACCACAACATTAACTACCAAGAATCCAGCCAACCCCTTTAAGCGCCTGGGGGCATTGGTAAAATG